TTAACATGAATACCCCACTCAGACACAGTATACTGACTCCGAGCCGACCAGTCCTTGTTTTAGCCCCTTAATGTCGAGCGCCAGACAGGGTAACAACAAGTACAATCTTTTAACGTCTTTTTATATGACGCGGCCGGGGATCAAACCCCGGACCTTCCGCTCTCCGGGCGGAAGCTCTACCACAAGACCACGGAGGCGGTCACGGTGGTAAGGGAGTAACGCGCTCCAACAGCTCTCCAACCGGTGTTGGTGTCAAGTTTGGGTGATGAAGCTCCTTCATTTGCCAATGAAAAGTCGTGGGTAGCGGAGTTCAAAAGGTGATGAAACCATCACAAAGGAAAATGTTGACAACATACAAGATCCTATTAACCAGAGCTGGGAACATTCTGAGGAATAAACTTGGCATGACAAAGGTTTTATTTACGTCGTTTTGGAGCAGAAACAGCTGATTTTGTTGAGCTATTTGTGCCCATGGATGAGTCTTGGCTCCTCCACATTAGTTAGAGACTAAACAAGAACACAGGCAGGGGAAACATCCTTCGAAGAAGGGAAGGCCTGTTCTGTTCTTCCGTTTTCGGGGATTTCAAAGAAATCCTACAGGTGGACCACCTCCAGAAGGGTCAGACCATTAATGACCAATATTATATTAATCTGCTAAGGGAATGCGTGAGAATGTAAAGGCTACTCGTCGTTGTGCACTTGTCTGTTGCTATGACTAAAACACGTTAATGGTTTTAAACTCATAGAACCTCCTCCGTCTGTTGCTATGACTGAAACACGTTAATGGTTTTAAACTCATGGAACCTCCTCCGTCTGTTGCTATGACTGAAACACGTTAATGGTTTTAAACTCATGGAACCTCCTCCGTCTGTTGCTATGACTGAAACACGTTAACGGTTTTAAACTCATGGAACCTCCTCCGTCTGTTGCTATGACTGAAACACGTTAATGGTTTTAAACTCATGGAACCTCCTCCGTCTGTTGCTATGACTGAAACACGTTAATGGTTTTAAACTCATGGAACCTCCTCCGTCTGTTGCTATGACTGAAACACGTTAATGGTTTTAAACTCATGGAACCTCCTCCGTCTGTTGCTATGACTGAAACACGTTAATGGTTTTAAACTCATGGAACCTCCTCCGTATTCACCAGAATAGAATAGATTTTCTATATCAGGTACAAAACGACATTACTGAATGACATTTCTTCAGAATATATGTTGTGAAGAATAGAAAAATAAGTTAAATTACCAGATGGCATTTATTTTTTTATTTTATCTCTTGTCAGTTCTGACATAGTTGTAAGCTTTCAATTGACGTATGTCGAATTGTCAATGCTAATTTTTGTTTATTTCTTCAATGTTGAATAACACTCCTACTTGACTTCGTTTCATTTTAATTTATCAATTATATTGCAAGGCCATAAACCAATCTCGTGAACAAATTCTCAAAGTGAAAGGGATTGACATACCCTCATGTTTGAGTGTTATAAATGTATGTGAAATGATTAATGGTACATTCAACAAAGAATTACACAGAGCTGACGTCAGACATCAGACAGCTGACGTCTGACGTCGTATCTAACCATTATTCAACATAAACGTCATTTATACTTTATTTCTAACTTTCAAAAACCAACCACTACTTATATTTGGCGTTTGAAGAGCGTATATTACGACCCGCGAATGAGAACCGTACACATATTTTATCAGATAGTATCATAAATTTATCACCAACATGTGATGGACACATCACTGTCGCTTGGCCCATTTGGTCCCCACCCCCCTTTGCTTGTCCTTTGAGGCGATTTATAGATCGGGTGGTCAGGCCCGGTGACCTAGTTGATTGCGTATCATCGTACCCCGACGGCGTGGATCGCTGCTCATAATATCAATCAATAGTTTCTATGGGCCAGATTCGATTATTGACAAGCCGAGGTCAGATAGCTTGACTGTTGCTGAGTGCGGCGTTAAACTATAAACAAGCAAACTATCGCATGGAGTTAACCATGGTGCTTTGTGTTTTGCAGCGTCATTGATATCGTTCTTCTTGTACACGATGTCACGGGTACATTGTACTTTACTCCTTAAAGTTTGTCATCATCCATCTTGATCTATACAACTCGGGTTTAATCTTCGTGTCTAGAAACAATGCATAGCGAATTGCGACGCTTTAATAGACGACTAGGTCACCCATGCCCAAAAAAGACTCTGAAGTTGACTCTGTATTCGTAAGAGTTGACTTCAATGTGTTTTTGCGTTATTGAGTTTTTCTGCGTAAAAAGGGATGTACACGGTATGCAAACCGGTTGTATGTTGAGGATACGAGGAACATGTCCAAAAGCCTTAAACCTGTTTTCATATATTCCCCAAACTTGCCCGCCACCATTTATACTCGGCAAAAAAAGAAACGCAAAAGTGTTTTATTATATATCATATAAATAATCAAAGTAATCGATTGTTCAACATTTGCACACATCTTTGTCATTGACCTAGGTTCCATATGGCACACCTGGAGCAGTAGATTTTCAAGGTGAAGAACATCTGTTCTCTAAATCTGGTATGGCCACCTTAAAAGTCCACAAAAGCTGGCATCGTCGTCCCATGGAAGCAGCGTCCCATTCTTTGGTTGTTGCTGACGTGCTCACAGTCGTTGATCCAGTGCATCCCATTAATGTCCGATTGGGTTTAAATCTGGAGCGGTTCCTAAAAAGGCTGCTTTCAATCTTGCCGTGTGAGGTCGGGCGTTCACTTGTTGCGTAATGGGAAGGACGTGTGGCCGAAGAATCTCACCCGTGTAGCGTTGTGCCGTTAAATTCCCCGGAACTTGCACCAAGACTGTTCTACCAGTGTAGGAGATGACTGACCCCATCATCACACTACCACCACCACATCTCTCTATCATCCGCACGGCGAAGCATAAAACGTGGTCTCCATCGCAGTTGTGGTCATACACCACTGACGTCACAGCGGATGATGCAGGTCCGTCAAAATGACACCTTGCTTGAACTGGTCGTCTAGCGCGAATACTTTCAGCGCGTAAACAATTTCTCACTGTCGGGACTGATACCCTACGGAATCCTGGTATTGCCGTAGTTGTAGGGGTGGCCGTGGTAATTCTGTCGCGTAGGTGACGTAGCGGTATGAATCTGCCCAGTGATGTTGTAGTGATAAGTGGTCGATCGGATCCGGAAAGGCCGGGTGTTGTCCCGTGTGTCTGATAACGGTTCCACAGTCTTGAAATAGTGTTTCTTGCTACGTGGAAAAACCTGGCTACAGCTGAAGATGATTCTCCTGTTTACAGCCCGCCTATGGCTTTGTTGCGTTGGGCTTCCATCAGCCGTGGCATGCTTTCGCTGTTCAAATGTTTAAGATTGAGATGGCATGCAAATAAAAACCCAACGTCTTTAAAGCCCAACAAGTGATGGACGTGCATGACATGTTGGTGTGTTTCGGCGCCAGGCTCTCACGTGGTTGTGTTTTTGCGATATTTCCATCTTTGCACCAAATGTCTGCAGTTCCATTCTTTCCACACAAATCAATCCCAATCCATACAGAAATAACCAATGCATTTTTGGTACTAACTGTGTATTGATGTCGGCAACACTCAGATATTCACGATTTTACTGCTTTTGCATTTCTGTTTTTGCAGAATATGTGGTCTTTTACCACAGCCGTTTGCGAGCCATGATATCGCTGGAATATTGCTAATAATAAGCGGCGTAAAACAATACTCACTAACTTTCTAGTCAGCAGACCCAGTAGTTCATGGCATAATGAACGTCCCGCGCCGTCGGACCTCGATGACCACCCGATTCCCATTTCAGTGGGTTTATCGACAAGCATGAGATACTGGGGCTCTATTCTGACAACATAGTTTCTAAAGGGGAGTAAACCTAGACAACCACACACAGCACTCAAACAACAACAACAACAACAACAACAACACACACACACACACACACACACACACACACACACACACACAAACACACACACACACCTTGGGAATTCATTGTCCATGTTTTGGATATTCGATATCACGTTGTCCTAATTTTACGTTTCATCAGAATATTTAAATAGGGGTATAATTACTCCCTTTACAGTAAGGTCTACACTTGAAATGATAACAGCCGACTGCCTTGCATGGACTTGACGCGAGTTCCATGGACGGTTATAAGTCAATCTATACACTTGATATTGATAAAGAAACATGGGTGGCTCTGTCGTCGGTGACGCGATTCGCTGTGCAGAGTTGGGTGTGCCAGTAACCTATGACCGTGGTTTCGAATACTGACTGATTATGTTTCTAGGTTTGACGACACTATACCCTTGCTCGTGGGTTTCATCAAAATATTAAGGGTGCCACTCCCCTTTTGGTACGCGGTATATTTTAAAGGGTGTTCAGAACACATCTATGTGGTACGCGGAACGAAATTATAATCCCTTTGGTATGCATATTCAACATTTTAAAATATAATTACGGTGTACGTAAAAATCTCCTTTTTACGTCTTTTGTTTTCGATATTTTTCAGTAATGAAACTTCAAAAAGCACTCTTTTAGGACCTAGATTGTCGTGGACATTCTGCCTTTGTAGAGCGAATTCAGTGAGATTTGTGTTAAGTTGTATTCGGGATTCAGGGAAGAGCATTTGAGACTAAGAGGGAACAATTAGACCGGGAGGGGGCGTTGGCACCTACATCCTTAGGGATTTCCTCCCACTATAAGTTATAACGCCTTGACAGAATTGTTGTTGCCATAAATAATGTTCAAAGCGGCGTTAATCCCAACTCATTCCTTCTTGTTGATAACATGCACTGTCATAATATTCAAAACCATCGCATTTACCACTGCTTTACTGCAAGCTGTCAAACACCGCACTAATTCCCTCCACGGAGACTTAAGACCTAGGTGTTGGTCGCTCAAGCGTGACAACGGCGTCTCCCGAACATCACCGCAGGCGTGACACGTTTATGAAGATATTTTATGTCACGCCAGGACACCCCTGCTTGCTCAATACTCTCGCCATGTTCAATAAATATTCTCTTTAAACAACTGATTAGAGAACAAGAACAGCGTTCAGTATTGCAAAGAGGTCGGTTTTTGATGTATGCATTTTGGTAAAGACAGACAGGAGTGACTGGCTGTAGATCCGGCTTGTCAGAAAGTTAGAAAGCGATAGCCCCGTGTTGGTGGTTGTCAGTCAGTGGTGATGGCACAACAGTTCCTACATCTATTGCTGTCTACGCTCCTTTATGGGGAGTCACCGACGGGTAAGAACTTTAATAATATGTTGTTGTAGTTAAAAAGAAACGTTCATCATCCTCATCATAATTGTATAGCCTATGAAATGAATTATATGTTGACGGACTGACAAAATATGTTATGTCAGTGCCAACAGCTCGAGTCACTCGGTAAGTGATCGGGAACACCAACAAGCTAAGGAATCTGCTAACCGTAACCCTTCTCAGGCAAACCTGTACTTTACATAGCAAGTATTTGTATGAATAGTTAGGTTTTTGTCCAATCTATATTTGATGTTTGTCGTTATCAGTATAGTACCAATTGCGTGTGTAACACCACCTGCTCCACTGGACCATAAGGGGTTTGGTTGGCGATCAGTGTACACAAAACTAAATAATTGTACAAATTCACGTTTTCAAATTTCGCAAAATCGGAGATTATTTTGTATGAATGTTGTCAATATTTACACGCGAATATCAGCCAAGTTATACTAAACAAGAACAACATGTGCTGATATTATTCTCCAGTTAAGGAAGACATGTTATGACATCACCTTCGCATGCCATGAAGGCGCATTGCCTGTTAATGTTTGGTAGACAGTTTTATGACATGAAGAATAATGAACATCCCGGCAGTCCACTGTAGACGCTCTCTCTAACTCTTGTTAAGCAGAAGGTGAATGCTGTAAAATTAAAAACCCTCCTGTGTTGCATGGTAATGCATTGGCATACACCATCGCCAAGTGTAATGTTATTCTCAATGGCATTCAACATTCCTCAGTTAAAAGAGAAAAAAACTGGCGTCACATTTATGATAATTCCTTCTATCTTCGTTCGTATCTACAGTAAACTACGTTTATAACAAACACGCTAATAACGAACTGACCGATATAACGAACTTATTTTTTAGTCCCTGCCATTTGTTGTATACATGCTGTATATATGCTTATAACGAACTACAATTAGTGGTTCCTTTAATTTCGCTATAACCGTAGTTTACTGTATTTAGAAAAGTTGTTTCGTGCAAAATGCAATAGCTGTAAACGTTATTGCTAAAGGAAACTGTTCAGTATAGAATGGGAGAGAACTGGAATGAAATAATACATAGAATAATATAAAGCATGATTTAAATAACTTTCAAGTGTACTTACATGATCATATTTTTATGCACTTAAATATACCATGGTATATTTTGTAAGGAATATTGTATATGTTTCTTCATGTGAACTAGCATTCATACGTTGTTTTTTGCAAGGACGTTCACTCTTAATGAGATGCCGCTATGTCATAATATTTTTAAAGAAATACCCCTATGGCGTTCTATGAGTGATTGCGTGCCGATCATCTGACTATAAGTGGCTATTCGTTCTGTCTCCATTCCCTTCACCTAGCCTCTTGTATGTCCTATCTGACTCCAGTTCAGGATTAGTTGGAGAACTTGCAGTGAAAGACGTACTGGCGTTAAGTCATACAAATCATACAAGTCGTACAAGTCGTACAAGTCGAATGTACGGTAGCAGACAAGTCCATTTCCGTCAAAATGACATTTTCGCGTTTTCGGTAGGGCAGCAAATGCTTATCCTTTTCACGAACACCTGGTGTTATCACTCATTTTCAGTGATCCATTCACATTCTTTTTCCTATTTTTTCTATTGTGCCTTTTACGCCAAATGAAATCTATTTCGGCGGACACTCGAGACTGGTTATTCCTGGCATTGACGTTTTACATTTACAAGCAAATGCATTGGTGTATGTACAGAATCCCTGGCATTGAACTACATTAGGTTTGCTGGTGTTGTAGTCATGTTGGGCTGAAGTTGCTGAACCACTACATTTTCGCAACTGAAGGTCGTCTTTTCAATTGAGCTGCTTCTCATTCAAACAAAGGTGTATCTTTCTCTCAGTCCTAATACTGACTGCATTATAATCGAGGATAATTGTAAGTGTACATGATTGTGTGGGTGAGTTGGGTTTAACGTCGCGCTGAACAATATCCCACTTACACCAAAGCCTGACAGCTTTATATTGGAGGAAAGCGATGTAGGTATCAAACGTTGACCACGAAACACACGAGCCAAGTTTACGAAGCCACAATTATAGGTAGTCCCGGTGACTCAACTCTGCACAGAGAATTGCGACGCCTTAGACGCGCCGCCAGGGTTACAGGATATTTATAAACCTGTAAGTTTAGAGACTTCATAATAAGCACATTGGAGTAGACCTGTGAGTATGCCAATTTCCTAAAACTGTGGAGGACATGTGACAAGGTTCCATGTTAAGTGACGGGTCCCTTATATTTTCATTGCTTAAAAGTATATTAAATGTCAAATTCAGTCGGGTGGTACCTATTTGGCGTATAACCACTTGGGGTTAATTGTATGTAAACATTTTTTGTAAAGTGCAAACGCTGCGCCTTATTATGATGGTCTTGATACCTGTGTTAGTTTAAATGTTCATCGTAAGTAGCGGAATAAAGATTTTCTACAAAAAAAACACTAAATACCTTTGCCTGGCCCCTTGGAGTGAAAGACTACCGAGCGGAAGTCCAGTTTCCACCCTTGCCGAACTAGGCTGGGACTAAAAAGTTATATTTTGGCTGGACTAATGCATAGTCCAATCAAATTCACGTAACGAAATCGACATCCGGTTGGTAAACTGCCGTACAGAGTTCGGTCAATTGCAGGATTTGTACCGGCAACTAGGCGTCAAAAGATATATTCCAAATCTGCTCATGTTTTAATCAAGGTGCTCACGTGATTTGATGCACTTCGCAAAGTTAGACCCGTTTTATCGCAATATTGATTTTGATTATCGATCAGATTGTCACGACTGGGTACCGCCACTTTGTGCAAAGCAAATGCAAGTGATATGAAAGTTGGAATCTGATTGGTCCATAGGAGGGACATATAAGGGACATGACTCATAATAAGCACTGGTGGCGCTACGGCCGACCCCATAAATTCCATCCTAGTTGAACGTTCATAGTAAGTTAACGCCCTTGCCTCGAGTAGATGCAAAGGTGCAAACAGAAGCTGGTTACGTGACAGATAGTTTGACCCGATGTCTTATTATCTGTGTAGCCAGGTGTCGTGGGAACTTGTACCTGTAAGGATTTGTAATACCCTCTGTGAATTTAGATCGGTTCAGGTGTGTGTTAGAACTGACTAGATACTATCGGTGCTTCAAGCTCGTGTATATACGCCTTTCAGAAGTATTCACGCTGTTTGAGTTCCACTTTTAATTGCTTACTTAAAGTGGTAATGCTTTAGTTTTCTGATTCTTGTCGAAAAAATAGATTGTTCCCGAAAATTCTCGAAAATAATAATTATGCTTGAGACCAATGAAAAAACGAAATTGCCTGCCACAAAAAGAACATTATTGCAGGGTATATATATCTGGTTTGGTAGCTGTAGCTGAAACATATCTAATCTCGATGTAACCCCTTCTCCCTCACCCCGGGAATATCAAAAGGTCGGTACCTTCCTGGTAGAGTAGGAGGCGTAATCGTATGTTAAGCACTGTGGCGCCTGAACTAGCATCTGGGGAGAACTGAAAGGTGACAGAAATGATTATCTAAGACAATGTAAACATTGCTTTCCTTCAAAGTATAAACAAGCGCAATTCCAAAGTCAAGACAGATTCTTCTTACTTTGAAATACAGGACCGCCTCCATGGTCTTGTGTATAGAGCATCTGCCGATAGCGGAAGGTCGCGTCAGACCAAAAGACGTCAAAAGATGGTACTTGTTGTTACCCTTGCTGGAGCTCGGCATTGAGGGGTTACAACAAGGACCGGTTCGGATTCTGAGTGGGGTATTCGTGTTTTACAACGTCATGGTAACTCATAGTGCATGAACTATAAAATCGGCATTGGTCCGGACTAGTACAAGCAGCTTCACACACGCGCCCGCAAAATAAGTGCAACAATTTTGAACGCAACGTTAAACCCATTTCACCTGATCTCACCTGAAATATAGCATACGTATAGTTTATCACCATACAATCTCTGATCAAACGACACGACGTCACAGTCGTCTATAGAAAAGTGCTAATCTTTTATCTTCCGTTGTCCTAAGACTTCAGATGCACCCCCTATCGTGTTTTCTGCCCAAAATATACTGCCACACATATCATAAATATTGTAGTTATCGCAAATCTGCATTCTACAACGTATATTTGTAATTATTCAAAAATGGCCACCAAAATCATGTCAAAAAAACAGTAATCAGTTTCAAGTTTACTGAAGTATTTTCCAACTTGTTGATGATTGATCATATAAATGCAAGTCCAAGAATGACGTAAACTGTCGGGCTGAAGTATAGATCCATGTTTGATGGTGGCTAAACATGAAACAAACAAGGAATGATGGTGATTTGACAGGGGAATTGTGCTTTAGACCTTAAGTTTGCTGCGTTTCGGCGACCGTTATCATCCTGGTTAAGTTTTGATAACGTTTGTATTGTTTGCAATTCCAATTCTTAAGTGTACAGTTTCTTTTACCCGTCATTTCATCTGCTTTGTAATGTCCTACTCAAGCAAATATGTATAACAGCGGTTGATGACATTATTTGACACCGTTTTTCCAATTTATTATACAATTCTGAACTCAAATACATGTATATATAAATATAAAACTTAACGTCCGGCACGTATTCGATGAGGAGGGTTATCCGTGATCTCTGTATGTCATAATGACGTCTCACGAATGCAAGTTTTGAATAAGATTTATTTTATTCAATACTAGGTTTATTTTTTTTATTGATCCGTATTGACGTGCATGGGAATTAGCTTTACATGTTTTCTGTGTATCACGTGTTGTTATATTTGGTTGAGGGTACTCTGTATGACATCAGTAAGGACATGAGGTTGGCACAACAGTCTGGGACGCGTCAATCGTGCCAGGATCCGCTGGTTATGGGTTAACACTGATTATGAACCTTGGTTTGCGCTTTCAATTCACCATGTACAATGTAGGATTTCCTTCTGCATTGAGCTCGCACGCATTGATAAAACTGAAATACTGCTGAAAACCGTATTTAATGTCATCACAAACATATTCATCCAATCAACAAAAGATGTAGCGTCTTTATTTACATGATGAGGTTATATGAGAAAAATTGAAATGATTAAAATGTTGAATAAGATTGACGTTAAAAACGTACGTCAAGTACGAGAAAGCCTTTGGAAATCGGAATTGTGCGTTCTTGTGTTTCAGCTGTAGGAAAAGTAAACCAAATCAGTGTGCCTTTCAGGCATGGTGTGGTGTCTTTTGATAAATGACATGTCAGGCGTGACAGAAGTGAGACGTTAACAAACTCAGCCATGCATGGACTGAGCACCAACAAGCTTGGACGTGACACACATTCATTGCGTCATCGAGGTAGTATGTCAGCTAGGTTGTATTTTCCAGCTGCTAACATTGTCCGACCTCCGGGAGTTTTATGTTTGTCAATCACAGCTCACGAGTTCCATGAATACCCAGTAACTGACTTTAAGAACAGACATGTCCAGCCTATCTACATAGACGAACAATGTAAGAATAAACTCACGCATTTCTCGATCATGTTCATGCAAGTGAAAACCAGACACATCCATTTCATCAACATAAACTGAAGGGCAAAAATGTATACACTTGAAAATTGGATTTAACCAAAAAGATACAAACGTTATCTAAACGTTACCAGGCTGAAATGCGATGCCACAACACCGCAAACATGAGGTCCAAAATAACTATGATATCCGTATCAATTACATCACCATCGAATTACCATTTCTTGTTTGTTTCATTTTTAGCCATCACAGATGGGAGTCTACGAGTACATTGTTTGCTCTGCCGTTTATTAGAGTTCAATTCAAGAACAGCTTCTTCCATTTCATAAACATATCATACAACGTGTCATATCAGAGTCAATAACACATTCTGTTTACTGTATGACAATAATTGTTTCCCATATGGCGATACGATTTACTTCTATTTCGACCCGTGAAGATCCGGGGTAGAATAGGTGTTCAGCAACCCATGCTTGCCGTAAAATGCGACGAACGGGTGGTCAGGCTCGCTTACTTGGTTGATGCATGTCATCGTATCCCAATTGTGTGGATCGATGATCATGATGTCAATCACTGAATTGTCTGTTTCAGACTCGATTAATTTCAGACCGCAGTCATATTGCTGGAATATCGCTGAGTGCGGCGTAAAAACAACAAACAAAACAAAACAACATACTTCTATTTCAATATTTGAACCTACCCAACAGGCTTTATCAAACGTGGATATCTACCTGCATGCTATCCGCATTAACTATGAATAAATCAAGCTTTACAGTACATATTGACATTTCGTTTTGAACGTCTATAAATTTGTTAATACATGTAATAAGACGTCTGGCACTGATTACTTATTTAAGATCCTGTCGTCCGAATAAAAGTAGTTTCAAACGTTTTAATTGAAAAAGGATCGTCTTATCAAACATATGTTCTCTGTAAAATATTGGTGTTCATCGATTACCAAGTTTATTATCTGACAATCATCCTAACGTTTATACTACCTTGCCATCATAAAAATACAAACGAGTATATCATTTAGGATTAGTGATGTTTATTAGGCGTCGTTTACAAAGGCACTTGACAGGGACGTGATCCTTTTCTATTGAGACGTGGCAATAAATTTCACTTATTAATACTGAGTAACTACCAAATACGCAAATTATTGGCACGATGTGTTTACAGGCGCCGTGGTGCTAAGTATCACGGTTGATTTAATTATCCATGTGTCATTTTATGAGCTACCTAAGAAGAAAAAACACGAAAATATCACAACGGCGACCAAAGGGATTAAGAGATCAGAGCCATGTTTCGCTGGAGGCACATGGGCAACAAACTGACTTTCATCTTCATCTGACGTTTTGAATTGTTCATTAGTTTCAAAAATGGAACGGCTTTAACATGAACCCATTTTGATTAAAATACAGATCATGTTTAATATCCATGTTCCATTTTAAACATTTCAGGTCGAAATGGGGGCGGTGACCTCAGCCATCATTGGAGCTACAAGGGCGAGGCAGGTAGGATTTTGTCGTATCATAATCTGTCGATGCCAGCGGATGTTCAGACAGCAAGACAGACAGATACATGTATGAAATGAATAAGGAAGAAATGCATGAAATGTGCTACATGTATGAAATATGCTATGAATAAGGAAGAGATATGCATTGAATAAGGAAAGGCGATGAACTGCATGAATTGCTTCTAATACGAAATGACATGTTTCAAAGACTAAAATCTAAGTTTGGTATATTGTTGCGTATATTCATAGCATAGTTCACAGCAACTGCAATTGTATTGTTAAACATTGCTACTTCTTCTTGTCTGAATTGAGGTGTTTTGTAAGTATCACACTGACAAAAATGAACTGTCGTGTCAAATAAAAATATATAGTTTATTTCACAAAAGTATCTTGAAATTTCAATATACTAAGTTGAAATTTCAAGATGCTTGGTTGACATTTCAAGATACATAAGTTGAAATTTCAAGATAATGATCTTGAAATTTCAAGTTATTATCTTGAAATTTCAAGAAAACAATTTAAAACAGCAAATGGCCCTAAAAGGCTTCCGTAGCTATCATCCATACTTCTAAGTGGTGCTGGGGATGCTCAGATGTATGGATGGTACGCCGATTGTACGAGAAATTAAATGACGTATCTGTCCTCATATATACCGACAAAAAATAAACAGATACTTCCGTTATTATTTCCGTTCCTCGACATGACATTGTGTGACGTTGTACCACTTCGTCATCCTCTGGGGCGGTGGGGTTGCCGAGTATTCGCCCGTCATGCGACGGCTTGGGTTCGATTCCCCACATGGGTACAATGTGTGAAGCCCAGTTTGTGCTGGTGTCCCTCGACGTAATTTTTTTAAAAGATGAGTAAAATCATATCACGCACTCGTTATCCCGTATTGTGTTGTAGATTTCCTTGGACAATGAGGTGTCATGCTATACAGAAGTGCGACACATTTGTTGAAACTGTTGTCATATAAATATATCAGTAGTTTACATGGGAATTTCAGTTTCTTCTTGAATGTTTTGAACTTTTGATATGATTATAGTTGCACAAATGTCTGAAAAGGAGGAAATACTGTTTGGTCAAATCTTTGAGCCAAACTAACCACTTTTGAGATAAAATAAAAAGTAATGGGTGACTTTTTCGGACATTTTAAGTCATGTTTGTGCAACCTTTTTACTTGATATTATTATTAATTTGTTTGCACAGACACATGTTACTTTGTTTATAAGTCGTTTTCCTCTACGGGTGTCTAGTGTATTGCAAACTTCCTATTTCAGAACGCAATTTATTATCCAAAACTGGTTTCCAAAGGAGATATCACTGTATGAGATATGAGATCAAAAGATTACTGCAAGAAGAAATCGCTACAATGACACTGCTTCATAATGCTTTGCTGGCCTTCGTGAAGTCAGCATTTGCCATGCCGTCACAATTAAATGACATCACTAATCTCTCACTAAAGCTGATTAGCTACATTAAAGACATTCATACTTACTGTTTACAAACTGAAAACGTAACTGAAGCATGATTTTGAATGATAAGTAGAATCTCACCCGATTGTCTTTTGATAGCATATATGTCAGCACTTGTCAACAAAAGTTTAAAACTTGGCAAACCACGCAGTTGTTAACATTTATCGACCCGTGTTAATATATGTGACCCACTAGGAGAAAAGGGACCTTATGGGTGCTAGATTACAATTGTGCTGTGACGTCATAAAGACGTTTGACGTCAGCTTACTTCAGTGAAGCCATGTGTGATGTCATGTATCTCTGAAATAAATATGAATTGAAGCTTGTGAATGGTATTATTGGGTTCCGAAGGTGCTGTAGTTTTAAACTAAATTGAAAAGACAAAGTGTGTTCTTGTCACCCACAAGGTCCCTTATCTCACGGTTGGTAACATATTTCATATCAAAATACACGAGGGTGAGATTCTGTTTCTATCAGCATACCTAAATAATGACTATCTCGACTGTTTCTTTGTCTTACGCAGGCCCGGCCAACTGGTCGTTGCTATATCCGACGTGTAGCGGCACCAGACAGTCCCCTGTGAATATACAAGATAGGAACATCATATACCAGGAGTTACCTCCCTTTCGGTTCAACAACTTCGATGGCTCAAGAACGGCATTCAGACTTACCAACAACGGTCATACAGGTAATGAAGTACCACAATGTGTTGATCATGTAAATGCTAGCAATGCGTTGTACTGCATCTTGAAGACCAAAAGGAAAAGAATCCATGTATTTTGAGGGGCGGTTGGTGATGCTAGGAGTAAAAGCGTTGGCTACACGATGTTCTTGAAAGCGAAGTTAAATCCCATTTTACCTCGACTCACATTTTATGTGTATATTCTTTATACCTGTAACTGGGGTGGTGGGATAGCTTAGTGGGTAAAGCGTTCGCTCGTCACTCCTAAGACCCGGGTTCGATTCACACATGGATACCCATTCTAGTGTCACTCTGTGTCATTCATCTATCTATCTATCTATCTATCTATCTATCTATCTATCTATCTATCTATCTATCTATCTATCTATAGCATTTGGTAAAACGCGTGAGATGCTTACGGGCAACGGATTATTATAGGATCCTGACACGACAAAGGAACGCAACTCTACACAGCGAATCGCTGCGTCTTAGAGCTCTGAGGTATCGATGCAAGAAGGTGTAAACACAAACTGTCCAGTATAAATGTTCAAACACAATGTACAGGGATGTTTCATTTTCTGTTATTTCAAGCAAGTATATCCATATTTGGTAACATGTCTGTGGAGGGAGGTGGCCTGGATGGTCAGTACAACACCGCCGAGCTCCACTTCCACTGGGGCAGTTCCAACAACCTCGGCTCTGAACACTCCATTAATGGCAGAAAATACCCCTTGGAGGTGAGAGTCCATCTGTTGTTTCTCTCAGACCGTGGGACGTTCCTCAAGCATATAGTTTTACAAATCTATAAAGGTAGATATTGCCATGGTGTGGTATGAGTTGTTTGTTAGTTTTCTTAAGCCACACCCGGCAATAGGCGCCGTGTGCGCTAATGACACAATGTGTCATTAATATATTGGTGCGTTAATGACATAAAGTGTCCTACGTGTTGCATATGTTCCTTCTGGTTATTGTACCTTGTACCATTAATATGTACCTCTCAACCTCACTCCCACAGATGCACATCGTAAGTTATGCCACCAAATATGGAAGCTTATCAAACGCCATGAGGTTCAGAGACGGTCTGGCCGTACTGGGGACGTTTTTCGACGTAACTGTGAGTACATCAGAAAGCGTTTTAGACAGCAAGATAATACTATCACACCATTCTTTTTATTTACATTTACCAACTATCCTTTTAACCTCCATGTACCAACAATTCTTTTGATCTCTACTTACCAACCATTCATTTTACCAACATGTAGCAACCATTCTTTTTTTCCTACATGTACCGACCATTCCTTTACCTACATGTACCAACCATTATTTTTATTTACATGTACCAACCGTTCATTTTACCTACATATACCAACCACTATTATTACCTATATGTACCGACCATTCTTTTTAACCTTCATATACCAACAGCTCTTTTTATGTACATGTACCAACTATTCTTTTTACCTTCATATACCAACCTCTTTTTCCCTACATATACCGACCATTCTTTTTATGTACATGTACCAACCATTCTTTTTACCTACATATACCGACCATTCTTTTTACCTTCATATACCAACCTCTCTTCTTCCCTACATATACCGACCATTCTTTTTACCTTCATATACCAACCGCTACTTTTCCCAACATATGACGACCATTCTTTTTACCTTCATATACCAACCGCTCTATTTACCTACATATACCAACCTCTCTTTTTATGTACATGTACCAACCACACTTTTTACCTACATATACCGACCATTCTTTTTACCTACATATACCAACCGCTCTTTTTACCTTCATATACCAACCTCTCTTCTTCCCTACATATACCGACCATTCTTTTTACCTTCATATACCAACTGCTCTTTTTCCCTACATATGACGACCATTCTTTTTATCTACATATACCAACCGCTCTTTTTACCTACATATACCAACCTCTCTTTTTATGTACATGTACCAACCACTCTTTTTACCTACATATACCGACCATTCTTTTTACCTTCATATACCAACCGCTCTTTTTACCTACATATACAAACCTCTCTTTTTATGTACATGTACCAACCACTCTTTTTACCTACATATACCGATCATTCTTTTTACCTTCATATACCAACCTCTCTTCTTCCCCACATATACCGACCATTCTTTTTACCTTCATATACCAACCGCTACTTTTCCCAACATATGACGACCATTCTTTTTATCTACATATACCAACCGCTCTTTTTACCTACATATACCATCCTCTCTTTTTATGTACATGTACCAACCACTCTTTTTACCTACATATACCGACCATTCTTTTTACCTTCATATACCAACCGCTCTTTTTACCTACAAATACCAACCTCTCTTTTTATGTACATGTACCAACCACTCTTTTCATCTATATATACCAACCATTCTTTTTACCTTCATATACCAACCTCTCTTCTTCCCTACATTTACCGACCATTCTTTTTACCTTTATATACCAACCGCACTTTTTCCCTACATATCACGACCAATCCTTTTACCTTAATATACCAACCGCTCTTTTTACCTACATATACCAACCTCTCTTTTTACCTTCATATACCAACAATTCTTCTTTACCTACATATACCAACCTCTCTTTTTCTCTACATATACCGACGATTCTTTTGACCTTCATATACCAACCTCTCTTTTTACCTACATAAACCAACCTCTCTTTTTACCTTCATATACCACCATTCTTCTTTACCTACATATACCAACCTCTCTTTTTCCCTACATATACCGACCATTCTTTTTACCTTCATATTCCAACCTCTGTTTAAGTACATACACCAACTATTCTTTTTACCTACACGTGCCAACAATTGTTTTTACTTCATATACCAACCTCTCTTTTTCCCTACATATACCAACCTCTCTTTTTATGTACATATACAAACTATTCTTTTTACCTACATGTGCCAACCATTCATTTTTCCCTACATATACCAACAATTCTTTTTACCTTCATATACCAACCTCTGTATTTATGTACATGTACCAACCATTCGTTTTACCTACGTATACCAACCTCTCTTTTTACCTAAACATACCGACCATTCTTTTTACCTACATGTGCCAACCATTCATTTTACCTACATATACCAACCATTCCTTTTACCTACATATACAGACCATACATTTACCTTCATTTATCAACCTCTCTTTTTCCCTACATATACCGACCATTCATTTTACCTACATATACCGACCATTCTTTTTACCTTCATATACCAACCGCTCTTTTTATGTGCATGCATCAACTATTCTTTTTACCTACATATTCTAACCATTATTTGTACCTACATATACAACCTCTCTTTTTACCTACATATACCGACCATTCATTTTACCTTCATATACCGACCATTCTTCTTATCTACATATACCAACCTCTCTTTTTATCTACATATACCGACCATCCGTTTTACCTCATATACCAACCGCTCTTTTTATGCACATATACCGACCATTCTTTTTACCTACATATACCAACCTCTCTTTTTACCTACATGTACCGACTATTCTTTTTACTTACATATACCGACCATTCATTTTACCAACATATACCAACTATTCTTTTTACCTACATAAACCAACCTCTCTTTTTACCTACATGTACCGACCATCCTTTTTACATACATATACCGACCATTCATTTTACCTACATATACCAACTATTCTTTTTACCTACATATACCGACCATTCTTTTTACTTCATATACCAACCGCTCTTTTTGTGTGCATGAACCAACCATTCATTTTACCTTCATATACCAACCATTCTTTTTGCTTACTGTTCCAACTTTTCTTTTTACCTACATGTGCCAACCATTCATTTTACCTACATATACCAACAATTCTTTTTACTTTCATAAACTAACCATACTTTTTACCTTCATATACCAACCTCTCTGTTTATGTACATGTACCAACCATTCTTTTTACCTACACATACCAACTTTTCTTTTTACCTACATATATCGACCATTCATTTTACATACATATACCAACCTCTCTCTTTCCCTACATATACCGACCATTCTTTTTACCTTCATGTTCCAACCTCTGTTTAAGTACATATACCAACTATTCTTTTACCTACACCTGCCAACAATTGTTTTTACTTCATATACCAACCTCTCTTTTTACCTACATGTACCGACTATTCTTTTTACCTACACATACCGACCATTCTTTTTACCTACATGTGCCAACCATTCCTTTTACCTACATATACCAACAATTCCTTTTACCTACATATACCGACCATTCTTTTTACCTACATGTACCGACCATCCTTTTTACTTACATATACCGACCATTCATTTTCCCTACATATACCAACTATTCTTTTTACCTACATATACCGACCATTCTTTTTACCTCATATACCAACCGCTCTTTTTATGTGCATGAACCAACCATTCATTTTACCTACATATACCAACCATTCTTTTTCCTTACATATTCCAACTTTTCTTTTTACCTACATGTGCCAACCATTCATTTTACCTACATATACCAACAATTCTTTTTACCTTCATATACTGACCATACTTTTTACCTTCATATACCAACCTCTCTGTTTATGTACATGTACCATCCATTCTTTTTACCTACACATACCAACTTTTCTTTTTACCTACACATACCGACCATTCTTTTTACCTACATATACCAACAATTCTTTTTACCTACATGTGCCAACCATTCATTATACCTACATATACCAACAATTCTTTTTACCTTCATATACTGACCATACTTTTTACCTTCATATACCAACCTCTCTGTTTATGTACATGTACCATCCATTCTTTTTACCTACACATACCAACTTTTCTTTTTACCTACACATACCGACCATTCTTTTTACCTACATATACCAACTATTCTTTGTACCTACATGTGCCAACCATTCATTATACCTACATATACCAACAATTCTTTTTACCTTCATATACTGACCATACTTTTTACCTTCATATACCAACCTCTCTGTTTATGTACATGTACCATCCATTCTTTTTACCTACACATACCAACTTTTCTTTTTACCTACAAATACCGACCATTATTTTTACCTACATATACCAACTATTCTTTTTACCTACATGTGCCAACCATTCATTATACCTACATATACCAACAATTCCTTTTACCTACATATACAGACCATACATTTACCTTCATTTACCAACCTCTCTTTTTCCCTACATGTACCAACCATTCGTTTTACCTACGTATACCAACCTCTCTTTTTACCTACATGTACCGACTATTCTTTTTACCTACACATACCGACCATTCTTTTTACCTACATGTGCCAACCATTCATTTTACCTACATATACCAACAATTCCTTTTACCTACATATACAGACCATACATTTACCTTCATTTACCAACCTCTCTTTTTCCCTACATGTACCGACCATTCTTTTTACCTACATATACCGACCATTCATTTTACCTACATATACCAATCTCTCTTTTTACCTACATGTACCGACTATTCTTTTTATCTACATATACCGACCATTCTTTTTACCTACATATACCGACCATTCTTTTTACCTTCATATACCAACCGCCCTTTTTTTGTGCATGCATCAACCATTCTTTTTACCTACATATTCTAACCAGTCTTCTTACCTACATATACCAACCTCTTTTTTTATCTACATATACCAACCATTCGTTTTACCTCATATACCAACCGCTCTTTTAATGTACATGTACCGACCATTCTTTTTACCTACATATACCAACCTCTCTTTTTACCTACTTGTACCGACTATTTTGTTACTTACATATACCGACCATTCATTTTACCTACATATACCAACCTCTCTTTTTACCTACATGTACCGACCATCCTTTTTACCTACATATACCGACCATTCTTTTTACCTCATATACTAACCGCTCTTTTTATGTGCATGAACCAACCATTCATTTTACCTACATATACCAACCATTCTTTTTGCTTACATATTCCAACTTTTCTTTTTACCTACATGTGCCAACCATTCATTTTACCTACATCTACCAACAATTCTTTTTACCTTAATATACTGACCATACTTTTTACCTTCATATACCAACCTCTCTGTTTATGTACATGTACCAACCATTCTTTTTACCTACACATACCAACTTTTCTTTTTACCTACACATACCGACCATTCTTTTTACCTACATGTGCCAACCATTCATTTTACCTACATATACCAACAATTCCTTTTACCTACATATACCGACCATACTTTTCCTTCATTTACCAACCTCTCTTTTTATGTACATGTACCAACCTCTCTTTTTCCCTACATGTACCGACCATTCTTTTTACCTACATATACCAACCTCTTATTACCTCCATATACCGACCATTCATTTTACCTAAATATACCAACTATTCTTTTTACCTTCATATACCGACCATTCTTTTTGCCTTCATATACCAACCTCTCTTTTAATGTGCATGTACTAACCATTCTTTTAAGCTACAAATACCGACCATTCTTTTTACCTACATATACCAACCCTTCATTTTACCTACATATACCGACCATTCGTTTTACTTTCATATTCCAACCGCTCTTTTTATGTACATGTACCGACCATTCTTTTTACCTACATATACCAACTATTCTTTTTACCTACATGTGCCAACCCTTCATTTTACATACACATACCAACTATTCTTTTTACCTACATATACCAACCTCTCTTTTTACCTACATGTACCAACCATTTATTGTACCTTCATATACCGACTATTCTTTTTACCAACATATACAGACCATTCATTTTACCTACATGTACCGATCATTCTTTTTACCTACATATACCGTCCATTCATTTTACCTACATGTACATATACCAATCTCTCTTTTAACCTACATGTACCGACTATTCTTTTAACCTACATATACCGACCATTCATTTTACTTACATATAACAACTATTCTTTTTACCTACATATACCGACCATTCTTTTTACCTTCATATACCAACCGCTCTTTTTACGTGCATGCACCAACCATTCTTTTTACCTACATATTCTAACCATTATTTGTACCTACATATACAACCTCTCTTTTTACCTACATAAAACCGACCATTCTTTTTACCTCATATACCAACCCCTCTTTTTGTGTACATGTACCAACCTCTCTTTTTACCTACATATACCGACCATTCATTTTACCTACATATACCAACTATTCTTTTTACCTTCATATACCGACCATTCTTTTTACCTTCATATACCAACCGCTCTTTTATCTGCAGGTACCAACCATTCTTTTTACCTACATATACCAACCTCTCTTTTTACCTACAAATACCGACCATTCTTTTTACCTCACATTCCAACCGCTCTTTTTACCTACATGTACTAACCATTCTTTTAACCTACATATACCGACCATTCTTTTTACCTACATATACCAACCCTTCATTTTACCTACATATACCGACCATTCTTTTTACCTTCATATTCCAACCGCTCTTTTTATGTACATGTACCGACCATTCTTTTTACCTACATATACCAACTATTCTTTTTACCTACATGTGCCAACCCTTCATTTTACCTACATATACCAACAATTCCTTTTACCTATATATACCGACCATACTTTTACCTTCATATACCTACATCTCTGTTTATGTACAAGTACTAACCATTCATTTTACTTACACATACCAACTTTTCTTTTTACCTACATATACCAACCTCTCTTTTTACCTACATGTACCGACCATTCTTTTTACCTTCATATACCAACCGCTCTTTTATGTGCAGGTACCAACCATTCTTTTTACCTACATATACCATTTATTCTTTTTACCTACATGTGCCAACCCTTCATTTTACCTACATATACCAACAATTCCTTTTACCTACATATACCGACCATACTTTTACCTTCATATACCTACCTCTCTGTTTATGTACAAGTACTAACCATTCATTTTACTTACACATACCAACTTTTCTTTTTACCTACATATACCAACCTCTCTTTTTACCTACATGTACCGACCATTCATTTTACCTACATATACCGACTATTCTTTTTACCTACATATACCAACCTCTCTTTTTACCTACATGTACCGACCATTCATTTTACCTACATATACCGACTATTCTTTTTACCAACATATACCGACCACTCATTTTACCTACATATACTAACCGCTCTTTTTATGTGCATGTATTAACCATTTTTTTTACCTACATATGCCAACCTTTTTACCTACATGTACCGACTATTCTTTTTACCTTCATATACCAACCGCTCTTTTTATGTACATGTACCAACCATTCTTTTTACCTACATATACCAACAATTCTTTTTACTTTCATATACTAACCATACTTTTTACCTTCATATACCAACCTCTCTGTTTATGTACATATACCAACAATTCCTTTTACCTACATATACCGACCATTCTTTTTACCTTCATATACCAACCGCTTTTTTTATGTACATGTACCAACCATTCTTTTTACCTACATATACCGACCATTCTTTTTACCTACATATACCGACTATACTTTTACCTTCATATACATACCTCTCTGTTTATGTACATGTACTAACCATTTATTTTTCTTACACATACCAACTATTCTTTTTACCTACATATACCAACCTATCTTTTTACCTACATGGACCAACCATTCATTTTACCTTCATATACCGACTATTCTTTTTACCAACATATACCGACCATTCATTTCACCTACATATACCAACCTCTCTTTTTACCTACATATACCGACAATTCATTTTACCTTCATATACCAACCGCTCTTTTTATGTGCATGTACCAACCTCTCTTTTTACCTACATATGCCAACCTTTTTACCTACATGTACCGACTATTCTTTTTACCTTCATATACCAACCGCTCTTTTTATGTACATGTACCAACCATTTTTTTACCTACATATACCGAGTATTCGTTTTACCTTCATATACCAACCGCTCTTTTTACCTACATGTACCAACTATTCTTTTTACCTACATATACCGACCATTCTTTTTACCTTCATATACCAACCGCTCTTTTTATGTACATGTACCAACCATTCTTTTTACCTACATGTACCGACTATTCTTTTTACCTTCATATACCAACCGCTCTTTATAGGTACATGAACCAACCTCTCTTTTTACCTACATGTACCAACTATTCTTTTTACCTACATATACCGACCATTCTTTTTACCTTAATATACCAACCGCTCTTTTTATGTACATGTACCAACCATTCTTTTTACCTACATATACCGAGTATTCGTTTTACCTTCATATACCAACCGCTCTTTTTATGTACATGTACCAACCATTCTTTTTACCTACATATACCGAGTATTCGTTTTACCTTCATATACCAACCGCTCTTTTTATTTACATGTACCAACCATTCATTTTACCTACATGTACCAACCATTCTTTTTACCTACATGTGCCAACCATTCTTTTTACCTACATGTGCCAACCATTCTTTTTACCTACATGTGCCAACCATTCTTTTTACCTACATGTACTAACTATTCGATTTACCTACATGTACCAACTATTCTTTATATTTACATGTACCAATCATTCTTTTTATAAACATGTACCAATCATTCCTTGTACATACATGTGCCATGACAGTCCTGATAATTCAGATTAAGATAGTAATAATATGGGTGCAACGATACCTCAATATTTATTCGACTTAACGCTTCATTACAAATGTAATTCATTCTGAGCTTATTGCCCAAGTCTTACCATTTTGATGAGGTGAGTTGTGGATGCGTGTACTTGTTAGGACTAATGTCGGTTTCGGACTAAAGTCGGAATCGGACAATACTTTCAGCAGATATTTCTTTAATGGAATTGCTTTCATTATTATAGTGGAATCTCACTGAGATACATATTCCTTGACAGCATTTTAACATGGATACCTAGCTCAAACACAGTATACTCCGAGCCGAAAAGTCCTTGTTTTATCCCCTTAATGCCTACCGCCAGGCAGGGTAAGAACAAATGCGTCTTTGGTACGACGCGATCGCGGATCGGACCACCGACATTTCTCTCTCCGGGCAGACGCTCTATCAAGTAGACCACGGATGAAACTCCCGAGCTTGCCGTGGTACTGCATGTCATAGACAATGTACGGGTCAACACGCATGCTTGATTTTGCATGATAATGTGTGATTATACATTTGTTTTGGAGAAACAGTGTCTTATCTATAAACATCTGTGTGAATATACTTATGGCCAAGAAAATAACTATATGGCGTCCTGGATGTAGGAAATCTGTAAAGTTAAGTTTCAAAAATCGTTTGACAGAACTATATTTAATTAACTATATTGTATTTGCAGAGGGAAAATCCATATTTCAGACCAATTGAAGACGGATTGATTCGAGCAAAGTATGCTGGTAAGTTTCTCCAAATGAATGTAATCCGTGAATTTGTTGTCATCTTGATAAATTTAGGATATTACGGGAGCTTCATTCCAATATCAAGTTTGCGAGAGGTGGCTCAAAACGTCTGAGCTGAACTATAATGGATTGCGTTGATGGTGTTGTCAGCGATGCTTATGTGCCTGGATCCCGCTGGTTAGAAAGCTCCCTCCTGGTGGTGTAAAAAGTACCTCAAAGCGAAATGACCTCTTCATTATTGGCATGAGGCTTGCCTGACAGCTCTTTCTTCAAGCCTAAGCAGATTAAGCATTATTTGCCTTGAATGGTCTGACCTTTCGGGATGTAGTCGAGTTTTAGCCAGCAGCAAGAACAGACCTTGCCTTCGTAGGAGGAGACGTTAGATATTTTCACTGCTTTGGCTTTTTTTAGTCTCTGGCTGATAGTGGTGAGCCAACGACTACACCTTCGTAGTTCGAATCAAAACTTTTCAGCCACTCCTCGTATGTCCCGAAGTGAAATAATTTTCAGTTTGACCGACTGGACAAAACTTGATATTAAATTGAAGCGAGTGTAGTATTTCTACTACACATATTTTGAAGAGGAATCAACAAAAACAAACATTGCATAACTTGACCAATACTTCATAACGGCTGAAAATGATGAAAAGGGCATGAAGCCTTGGTATGTGGTAACGTGGCGATACACTGATCAGCTTGTACACGCCCAAAATTGGTAGTTGGTAGCCATCCCTGGTCCAATGCTGGCTTTGGATAATGGTCCAATGCCGGTTTACTGTTCTGGGATAGGTTAACCATCATGATATCTATTTCTCTGCACTTTGGCCATTATTGGCTTGTTGTTACGGTCGAGTAATGGTCTCTTCACCTGGCCAGTATTGAGCCTGTAAAGGGAGGAAGTGACAGTCTCAAAGCACTGTGGGATAATGTGTTAGATAATGGTGTCTGCTAGAGAGGAACGAAGTACATAAGCCATATAAAAATTAGGTTTGGGCATTAAGATGAATGACTACTTGATTATTTCAAACTCAACCTTATGATGTAAGTTTATGAATATACGTTTGAGTCCACTAAATGATAGTTTGCTTGCTTCTTATATACAATAGTAATAACTAATTTCCACTACTAACTAAGATACTGACACTAACTTTTTTGATAGGCATTAAGACGTTGGAGTACTAAGTAAGGAAGATGTTCATCCATAAATCCTATCCTTACTACATACTGACACTAGACTAACCCAACAGGGTAGACTTAAATCCATGAGTAAATCATAGTTTAGAACGAATAGAAACGTGTTATCATTGTGTTATGCACATTGATTGTTTGTACATGCAGTTTTGTTTTCAGAATGTAATTTTGAGTTCGAATGTGGCTGCGAAACGATTTCGGCCAAGAATAGGACCATTACTGGACCAGTACAAAAAATCTGTACTGGTCCGAAAATGGCCAATATAGACCAAGCCATATTGGTCCAGCACAGCGCGAGTACCAACAATCTCTACTTGTTCGGAATGAGGCCAATGTAGGTTAAACGAGATTGCAACTCCGCAGTCTTCACAGAAAACTTAAACTTACAACCCAACAGCCTAAGGCTTATTTGCCATATTTTGTGCTATTCTTCACAGGGAACTATACCGATCTACTATCTGTGAATCTGCTGGGACTAATTCCGGCTGACACGTCACGCTATTACCGTTACTACGGCAGTCTGACCACGCCCCCTTGTCATCAAAGCGTCATGTGGACATTGTTTGAGGATGTTCAATACATATCTCCATATCAGGTAAAAACTTTTTTTCAGTCACTTGTAACACTTTATAGAAATTAGTGTGTTTTGCTTGGCACAACATTCAATGTATTTCATTCTTAAAGACGTTTATCCGTGGTGTTAAGAAGTAAAACAAATGTTTGTTTAATATACTGAACAAAACTGTGAGGGATCATGAATATTTTGGGGATATTTTTGTAGTGATGATTAGGTGTGTGTGTGTGTGTGTGCGTGCGTGCGTGCGTGCGTGCGTGCGTGCGTGCGTGCGTGCGTGCGTGCGTGTGTGTGTTTGCTGGTCCGGACTCAGTTGCCATATATCATGACTGAATGCTACCACATTCACTGGGGATCCAGTGTTCCAAAAATCTGGAATATTGTTTTGTGCAGCGTTAAATCACAAACAGAATCTGAAAAAAAAACAGTTTCAATATATTCCAGTACAGAGGGCATCACCTTCATGAGTAGCTGGGGATATCAAAAGAAAGTATGCACTTGAAAATTGGATTGGCCATAAAGTTACAGACGTTACCAGAGCCATGATACCTGATCCAACACATCCCTATCGAATAACCATTTCACATTCGTTTCATTGTCAGCCAACATCAAACATGGGTACATACCTTCTTTTCCCGGCAAACGTCCAGCGATAAAAATAGTGATACATAATAAATCTGGGCGGTGTAGTAGTGATCCTCTCATGTTTGATCGATTACATCCTAGTACAGTAACATATTGTCATGTTATGACAGAGCATGAAACAATTTTCTGTCATATAGATGTCAGACTTTTACTATCATATACTCCTTTCTAACAATTATTTCCGTGACACCCTAGGCAAAATAGAGACCCTAAAGAGTCTGGACGTTATTTATGGATCAAAAGGGTTTGCTTAATATTCATACACATATTTATAAATATTTTAAGTTCATCGACTCTCCTGAGTGGTTCTTAAAGTTTCCGTCTAGTGAACAGAAATAAAAGAATGGGTCCACCAAAAGGTTTGACGTTGTATGCAAACGGTCCACAAGACCATAATATATGTGATATATATTGGTACCCTATCAAAATTTCGAGTGTTAATGATGATAAAGACTACCGACTTACATTTACTTACATCGACTTACTTTTTCGGGCGTTCCGTCTTGGTATATCACTTTTAGATATTTGTTATAAAAAGGAAGTGCTAATTTTAAAATAATCATACTAACATTTTATTTTTTAGATCCATATGCTAAGACGTCTATATGAGTCTCACCATGATTCTCATGATCATGGAGGTCACGGAGGTCATGCAGAGGGTAGGAGGCAAGGAGGTCATGGCTTCGCAAGCAACCATAACACCCCAATGAAAGCTTTACCTCTTGAAGAGTTCCTCATGGACAACTACCGGCCCACCCAACCTCATTTCGATCGAGTCATTAATTGTAACATCCTACGCTATGCGGATCCCCAATATATACAACAGTCACGATTGCAACTTGACAGCCAGCCAAGGCAAAATGATTTTATAACGCAACGACTGTCTCAAATAAATGTTGACGCTTTGTTCAACAAGACCCTTCAACGATGGCTTCAAAGCAAGGGTTTATCTCCTAACGCCTTGACCCCTGAACAACTGGGCATGCACGCACAAGGGCAATCTCCTGGAGCTGCACATTTTCCCCAACAGGGTGGGTATTCTTGTTCTTGCTCCAGACAAAAGACTGTCGTGTGTGGATGGAAAATACTGTAAATATAAAATCATACCCGAGTGTCTTTTGATATCAAATGTATCAACACGAGTTGATAAAAGTGGAAAAAACTCCAAGGCTTATCAACGAGTGTTAAACAACTACAGTAAAGTGGTCAAATACACTGAAACTTATTTAATATATGACAGCAGGTTCGTCTTACATCGTTGGTTTTCGTTATTCAAAAATACTTAATAGCTTAACAGTTGTTTGACGATGTAAGACGAACCTGCTGTCTAATATGAAATGACTTTCAGTATATTTCATCATATTACTGTGGTTGTTCAATAAACAGCCTTTGAATAACGTTTTTTTGTCGAATGTTATATAGGGTCATTCAACGTGGGCCATCCCGATCCGGTTCAAGGGAACGGTGGCAATACAGGACCTGGGCGTGGCATTCCACACACCAGTCATCAGGGTCATTCCAATGGTATAAACCAAGGCCAGGTGTTCGGAAATACACAGGGAGGGACTAGCCAGACGGGTGCAGGTGCTGCAAGACCACCAGATCAGCTTGACCTTCAGGTCATACAAACACAGAGGATTGGACCAAATGGCGAGCAGGTGGGTGTCTTTTAACAGGGGACAACTGACACAAAACCTGTTGGTTGTGCTACTACAGTGAGACGCGGTTTGTCCAGTCGTCTTAGGCGCGGCAGTTCGCTGTGCAAAGTTCGTCCCTTGGGTACGCTAGAAACCTATGATCGTGGGTTCGTATTCCGGATCCGTATTTCTAAGTTTGTCAGCACCATTCCAATGCTCGTGGGTTTCACCATAGTGCTAGACCCAGCTGCATCATTTCGGAGTTCCGTGCATCATTAAGCTGACACGTCGTGATATAACTGTAACACTGTTCAATGCGGCGTTAAAACCACTCTCTCCCTCACCCACTCACTTTACTATGTCACACTTTTAAAGCTGTTTAGAAACTTGTACAGCTGTATTAAGAAGACAGGTCTGGTCTGGTGCTCACTGACCTTCTAGGTCCAGGTACTGTAAAGAATGGCATGTACTATTGAGATATTGTCTTCGTGTAATTCATCTAACCACCAGCTGCAAGATTGTTTTATGTAAATGTCAGGACATAGAGAAACAAAGTGAATATGGATTACATGAAATGAAAACACTTCATCCAGAATTGAAAAGGACTACCACAGGATTCTGTTCAGTAATGATTTTACTCTTAGGTAGCAGGTAAATGTTTCTCAATTTGATTATTTTCCCGTTGAAATTCTTGCTACAGACAGGACCTCATGCTTGCCGTAACAGCTAAAATAACATGTCAAGTGTTGATAAGGCAGTAATGACTTGACAGATTGCGTGTCAACTTATCCCCATGGCATGGATCGTTGTATCATGTATCAGCCATTAGTCTGCCTGGCTTTCATCGTGTACAGGCCGTTCGTTTACCAACACCCTGTCACTATTTCACCATGATTGATGTATGCTTACTCGAACAAACACTTCAGAAGTGTACATAGTTCCTTTTGTTTTTTTACAAACCATGTTGTTCTTGGTGACATGCCAAGTAACCATATACTCCAATTACTTTTTCAGCTGACTGAGATACAGGTTCAGCTGGATCCAAATGGTCCAAATGGCGCAATGACTCAAGAAGAGCTTCAGCAACTTTTAGGTGACCCAGCAATCATGGACCAGATTCGTCAGATTGTCAGCAGCCAGACGGGAGGCAATGGTCAGGTCCACGAAATTATCGTGGCTGCGCCAGCCACGGCCAACCAGGGTTTCGCGCAATCACAATTCCAAGATCCACAGGCCTTTGGAGGAGCGGGTGCATCACCTCAGGGATCCACGGTACCGTTTGATAAGAATGTAACTCCTAAACATGTTGTTGATCGTAGTCTAGATGTACACTTGCACCCATATAACCACCTAACACTGAACGTACGGACATTGTCTGCTGATGCACCTGTTACTAATGCACACGTAACACAAAAGGCTGTTACTGTTACTTTCCCTCTTACGCATGCTTCACGTTTAACACCAACTGCTGTGTCTGTCGGTGACCATGTCACTTCGTCTGTTCGTCCTACTGAGCACTCGTCTGGAATCTCAGCACCAGCACTGGACCAGAGCACGTCATATGCACTTGAAGCAAAGCAATTAAAACTGACATCTGCTTCTTTGGACTCTGCTCCAGGTGACATCCATGATTGGCCGAATCCGTTAAAAAGACGAGGTGGGAAAAGTCCTGGAAATTCATCCGATGGTTTAAATCAGATCCTCCCACCCGGGGATGCTGACAAACGTTTGCGCGATGTAGGTGATGGTAATAAAGCGATAAAAGAACTAACAGAGTATGGAAATTACTTAACGTATGCCAAAAGAGACATCTTCCCTGTTAAAAACACTAAGACTACAAAGGACAAAATCTTATATTATCAGGCTAATAAACATAGTGTTTCAGAAGCTGGGAAACTGCCCACGAGACATCTCTTAGAAGTCTATGCAATGGGGAACATGTTGCATGCAAACCATCGATTAAAGCGTGCCACACCAGTAAGGCCACGTAAGCCTACAACAGGAAGCTCATTTGATAAACTAATCTCACAGAGCATTCCCATAGAGAACCTGTTTTCACGTAGACAGTTACGTTTAGCTAATGCTAGGAGAAGACTGATGTTAAGCAGAGATCCGATGCTAAGACGACTTGCTCCACCATCCACGAATATAGACCCCCTTATGACACGGTCAAACGGACAACCATCTACTCCAGTCACTGACACTGCACCGTCAGAAAGGTTACTGAAAGAGCAGTCGACAAAGAATTCACGTTCACAAAATGCTCCTTCACTTACAAAGAGCACCCCACAATCACCAACAAAAGGTGTTGAGCCTACAATTAAGCATACAGCAGCAATAAGCACAACCTCGACAATAGGCACACCTGAGCAAGGTTCTTCGAACACATTTTCCATAGAATCAGAAAGAGCTCTGCGTCAGAATGCACAAACGGATATTAACAAGCATTCCATGACAAATGGAATTCCGCAAATGACAGTGGAAAAACCCTTTAAAAAAGGTGGGGTTAGAGGTAATGTATTCGTACAGAAATTACACAATCGCCATCCTAATCCGATGGTCGTAGGCAGAAAAAACGGTAAACATTCATACATAACATCTAATAATGATGGGTATAGTATTTCCGAACCCCACAATTTGGACAAGTCAGCGTCACTCTTATCTGAAAGTTTACCTAACAGAAAAATGGTTTCGAAAAAGACCCCAAAGGAACGCCATACTAAAGATAATATCAGAAACAAACCAGTGCTTAACAAAGGAAGTCTAGTTAGGGCCCCCACAATGAGGATTCGTAACAACATTCCTCAGCTTCCAAATGCACTCTTGCCTGACAAGGTTGCTCTGGATACAGCAACACAATCTATAGCTAGTCCACCTGATGCATATCCAACAAACATGGATGTAAGTGTTGCTGGGTCCAGTCATCTCGCACCAGGTCACATTTCAAACCAGGAACAACTGGGAAGATTCAGTGCTGCACCTGTTTCAAAGTCAAGACAGTCCCTTAGTGGGACAACTGCTACAAGAGAGACGGTACTCACAAACCAAGGGTCCATTAAAGCTTCCTCGACTTCTACTGGGAAAACTGTAACTAAGCAGGCTTTACTTAGAAACCAGGGATCTCTCGATGTTCCACCGACTTCTACTGGGAAAACTGTAACTGAGCAGGCTTTACTCAGAAACCAAGGATCTCTTGATGTTCCACCGACTTTTACCGGGAAAACCGTAACTAAGCAGGTTGTTCTTAAGAACCAGGGCTCTCTCGATGTTCCGCCGACTTCTACTCGGAAAACTGTCACTCAGCAGGCTCTACTTAGAAACCAAGGATCTCTTGATGTTCCGACGACTTCAACTGGGAAAACTGTAACTAAGCAGGCTTTACTCAGAAACCAAGGATCTCTTGATGTTCCACCGACTTTTACTGGGAAAACTGTAACTAAGCAGGATGTTCTTAGTAACCAAGGCTCTCTCGATGTTCCGCCGACTTCTACTCGGAAAACTGTCACTCAGCAGGCTCTACTTAGAAACCAAGGATATCTTGATGTTCCGACGACTTCAACTAGGAAAACTGTAACTAAGCAGGATGTACTTACAGACCAAGGATCTCTTGATGTTCCACCGGCTTCTACTGGGAAAACTGTAACTGTGCAGACTCTACTTACAGGCCAGGGATCTCTCGATGTTCAACCCACTTCTCCTGGAAAAACGGTAACTAAGCAGGCCGTACTTAGAAACCAAGGATCTCTTGATGTTTCACCGACTTCTACACGGAAAACTATAACTAAGCAGGATGTTCTTTGGAACCAAGGCTCTCTCGATGTTCCGCCGACTTCTACTGGGAAAACGGTAACTAAGCAGGATGTACTTACAGGCCAAGGATCTCTTGATGTTCCACCAAGTTCTACTGGGAATACTATTACTAAGCAGGCTTTACTTAGAAACCAAGGTTTTCTTGATGTTCCTCCGACTTCTACTGGGAAAACGTTAACTAAGCCGGATGTACTTGGAAACCAAGGGTTTCTTGATGTTCCGCCGACTTCTACTGGGAAAACGGTCACTAAGCAGACTTTACTTGGAAACCAAGGATTTATTGATGTTCCGCCGACTTCTACTGGGAAAAAGTTCACTAAGCAGGCCGTACTTAGAAACCAAGGATCTCTTGATGTTCCGACGACTTCAACTAGGAAAACTGTAACTAAGCAGGATGTACTTACAGGCCAAGGATCTCTTGATGTTCCACCGACTTCTACTGGGAAAACTGTAACTGTGAAGTCTCTACTTACAGGCCAAGGATCTCTCGATGTTCCACCGACTTCTACTGGGAAAACTGTAACTGAGCAGGCTTTACGTAGAAACCAAGGCTCTCTCGATGTCCCACCGACTTCTACTGGGAAAACTGTCACTCAGCAGGCTCTTCTTAGAAACCAAGGATATCTCGATGTTCCACCGACTTTAACTCGGAAAACTGTAACTAAGCAGGATGTTCTTAGGAACCAAGGCTCTCTTAATGTTCCGCCAACTTCTACACGGAAAACTGTCACTCAGCAGGCCTTACTTAGAAACCAAGGATCTCTTGATGTTTCACCGACTTCTACTGGGAAAACTGTAACTAAGCAGGCTTTACTCAGAAACCAAGGATCTCTTGATGTTCCACCAAGTTCTACACGGAAAACTGTAACTAAGCAGGATGTTCTTAGGAACCAAGGCTCTCTCGATGTTCCGCCGGCTTCTACTGGGAAAACGGTAACTAAGCAGGATGTACTTACAGGCCAAGGATCTCTTGATGTTCCACCAAGTTCTACTGGGAATACTATAACTAAGCAGGCTTTACTTAGAAACCAAGGTTTTCTTGATGTTCCTCCGACTTCTACTGGGAAAACGTTAACTAAGCCGGATGTACTTGGAAACCAAGGGTTTCTTGATGTTCCGCCGACTTCTACTGGGAAAACGGTCACTAAGCAGACTTTACTTGGAAACCAAGGATTTATTGATGTTCCGCCGACTTCTACTGGGAAAACGGTCACTAAGCAGGCTTTACTTAGAAACCAAGGATCTCTTGATGTTCCGACGACTTCAACTAGGAAAACTGTAACTAAGCAAGATGTACTTACAGGCCAAGGATCTCTTGATGTTCCACCGGCTTCTACTGGGAAAACTGTAACTGTGCAGACTCTACTTACAGGCCAAGGATCTCTCGATGTTCAACCGACTTCTACTGGGAAAACGGTCACTAAGCAGGCTTTACTTAGAAACCAAGGATTTATTGATGTTCCGCCGACTTCTACTGGGAAAACGGTCACTAAGCAGGCCGCACTTAGAAACCAAGGATCTCTTGATGTTCCGACGACTTCAACTAGGAAAACTGTAACTAAGCAAGATGTACTTACAGGCCAAGGATCTCTTGATGTTCCACCGGCTTCTACTGGGAAAACTGTAACTGTGCAGACTCTACTTACAGGCCAAGGATCTCTCGATGTTCAACCGACTTCTACTGGGAAAACGGTCACTAAGCAGGCTTTACTTAGAAACCAAGGATCCCTTGATGTTCTACCGACTTCTCCTGGGAAAACTGTAACTAAGCAGGATGTACTTCGGAACCAAGGATTTCTTGATGTTCCATTGACTTCTGCTGGGAAAACTGTCACTAGGCAGGCTCTGCTTAGAAACCAAGGATCTCTTGATGTTCTTCCCACTTCTCCTGGGAAAACTGTAACTAAGCAGGATGTACTTAGGAACCAAGGATTTATTGATGTTCCGTTGACTTCTGCTGGGAAAACTGTCACTAGGCAGGCTCTGCTTAGAAACCAAGGATCTCTTGATGTTCTTCCGACTTCTCCTGGGAAAACTGTAACTAAGCAGGATGTACTTAGGAACCAAGGATTTATTGATGTTCCGCCGACTTCTACTGGGAAAACGGTCACTAAGCAGGCCGTACTTAGAAACCAAGGATCTCTTGATGTTCCGACGACTTCAACTAGGAAAACTGTAACTAAGCAAGATGTACTTACAGGCCAAGGATCTCTTGATGTTCCACCGACTTCTACTGGGAAAACTGTAACTGTGCAGACTCTACTTACAGGCCAGGGATCTCTCGATGTTCCACCGACTTCTACTGGGAAAACTGTAACTGAGCAGGCTTTACGTAGAAACCAAGGCTCTCTCGATGTCCCACCGACTTCTACTCGGAAAACTGTCACTCAGCAGGCTCTACTTAGAAACCAAGGATATCTCGATGTTCCACCGACTTTTACTCGGAAAACTGTAACTAAGCA